TCATCCTACAATCACTTCAGATATTATTTACCAATTCCAGGCTCCTGTTACAGTATGAGAATGAATCACTTGGATTATACAAACAGTGTTTTTACTGAACTTTGGAGCTTAGTTCTAAAACTTTGAAAGACTGTGAGTACTTACGACTGATACTGGACATACACATTTCCTCGCAGGTGAGGCTCATAGTTGCAACTGACCTAAGGGGGTGGAAACATAAAGTTGGCACAATTCAAGGTTTATGCTATACAGCAGCTCACACATGCTAAGATGGCAGCCATTCCAATTTATCACAGCTCATCAATATGAACTTATAAGTGATTCTTCTGAAAACTTAGTTTTAGCCAAAAAAAACCCCCACCCAAACAAAAAACCCTACAAAACAAACAAAAACCCACTCTTCTGACTTATGTTTGATGGTTTCCAGCATTATGCTTTGAATAACTCTGAGACCTCTGCTTCACTTGGTCTGCAAGACAGCTTGTACTAATTGTCTTGCACTTGTCTGGACCAATTCTACTCTGCAACCACCAAATCCTCCTCTGAAAACAATTAGTAGTATCCTCATGTGGAAATGCGGGATTCGTTACAGTAAGAGAATCTTTAGAGCAATTTACCTTCACAGCATCCCCATGAGATGAGTTAGAAAAGCTGAAGCCACTAGCTTTCATCACTGAACAGTTCTGAAACACTTTTTTTCATGATGATTTAACATTCAAAGTTTATCTAAAGGTCTCAAAACCACACAATTTAACTTCCAAAAAGGTTGTTGCTAGTTACAAAAGGTTCTGAGGTGGGCAGGCCCAAGCAGGCAAGAACCCAGTTCTCTAGGGCTGAACAGTGTGCCCAGCCTCTTTTGCCCCCAGGCCTCTTCTGATATCAGCACCTAATGAGGCAAGTAGCTCCTTTCATCACTGAACCCCGACCGGCCCGCAGAGAACACCCCTCTGTGCACTGGATTAGGCAAGGGCTTCAGACACAACCACAAGAAGTTGTATAATTAAGCAGTACAGAACCAAGAATGGTTTTGCCACAGACATTTTTGGGTGGGAAAAGTGTGTTTTGTCAGGATCTGCCAGATTTTGAAGTAGCTTCCCAGAAAGAACAGCAAGAATAAAACCTTAGGCCCCACTGGAAACGGAAGTCAGCTATAAGAGGGGTGTGCATAATCTGATTCCAAATGCACAGAGACTCAGCTCACAGTTAAGACCCCTGCGGCCAACATGTAATTTCTGAGCATCTCTAATAAAATGAAAACGCCCATGAGAATCATACTAGAGTTGCACAATTGCTTCAGAAGCTGAGAAATGCCACGCTAAAAGCTCTTACCCCATTATTAGTCACAGGGACCCAAGAAAGTGCAACTTTGCACAGTTGCATATTACAACAATACAAAGTCAAGGATTTGAGTTTGCTGGTGAGACAGCATTTCAACTCACGCTCCATTAGGAATCTATATCCTATCTTCTAGGCTGGAGCATAGCTTGCTAATATCCCATGTGTCAAAATGTGGAGGGGATACTCCTCCAAACCAGTGAAGGTTTCTTACCTACAAAGCTTATTACACAGTTATTGTAAGTTCACTTTTTCTACTTTCCTCTTCCTTGAAATGCTAATGCAATCTCAGTTCTGAGGCAGCTGTCAGTAGATGGAAACAAAAGGAGAAAAGGCACTGCTTGCCTCCTGGTGACTGCAGGAAAACACTCAGGAATGGCAAGCAGAAAGGGATGCTGCACTAGATTTCTCTACAAGGAGAATTCACCAACCAAGCTGCGTATTTTGAGGCAACATGGGACTGTGAACAAACATCATTCATCTCTGAGGTCTCCATTTACAGGTCCCTCTTTTTCCCCCATAAGAAATTGCAATATAAATGGGAAAAATTCAGTACAGAACATTCAGCAAACCAAGCACACAAACTAAGGATAGATGACAAATCCCAACACCATTTACATAACTTACCTTTTTATAATTCCTCCTACTGAAATATCTACTGCTGTTGCAATTCATTGTAATTTGATTTTATTTTATCCAACAAGCTCTAAAATTACATTGTTTGGGTTTATAGTCCAAATACATTTTATATCCCCACTATTTCATTCCTTAGGCACAAATACAATAGCTCAGATATATTGTCTAACAGTCTTAGTGGATCCTCTGGGGCTTATCACAGGCTAAGTAAAGCAGGGACTGTGAGGTAAGTGGACTGTTGAGCAGTATTAGTAACTTGTAATATAAAAGCACAAGCTTTTACAACAGTCATGGGATCAGGAGAGAAGATTTACCCGGAGTAAGACAATGTTCTGTAACAACAGCGACAAGTTTACAGGTGACATGAGAGATGCACAGTTTGCTATAAGGAAACTGTACAGTTCTCTACTGTACATGGGATTTAGCTAGGGCATGCTGGACAGAATTCCAGTTAAGGCTAGTAAAACACATCTTAGGTGGTATATGTTAGGTATTTAACAAGCTGTTACATTCAGATGCATACCTTGAATTGCACAACCTTCCCCACATTCTGAAACTCGGGGAGCACATCCTCATAGAACTCCAGGAACTGCTGGTAGGTCTCCTCGTCACTATACTCGAGGCTCGCATCTGTGTCATAGTCATCTCTCCGGCACTGCTCCATGCCAAAAGTAATGAACATCCCTCGAACAAGTAGTGTCTTACTAGATGTTGGATAGTTATGCTTGCGAGAACACCTGGACATTTGTAGTGAAAAAAGGAAACTGAAAAGATCAGCACTTTGAGGAGAAGCTGCACCTGTTGAAACTTCAAACACTTGCCATTTCAAGTCACAAATACTACAAGAGAAAATCTGTTAGTGGAAGATGAACATACTTCAATTATTAAATCTTTCAAAAGTGAGTTTGCATATAACCTTCATGCTTTCTGTCATGCATAAATACATTTTTGCTTAAAAAAGCACATCTACAAAAGCTATAGGTACCAGTAACACAGTAAGAGCTGAAGTTCTCTCAGGTTACTATATTTAAACAAGTTCCCCTCTGAAGGGCTTTATAGAAAGACTACTGACAATCTTTTAAGACGTTTTAAAGCAAGTCCCTGCTCTTTATTTTGCAAGTGGAACAACTTTTAGTGAAGTTGTTCTTATCATACAGGGGTGGGGAGAAGAACTGAAGGAAGGCAGGCACATTTAGATGTGAAATTGGACCAGTACAAGCTTGGTGTTTTTCCACTTCTAAGAAAAAGGATTCTTCTAAGTAAGTCCTACCTTAACCTGCACCTTCTTGGCAGCCATAAAAGTATTAGACCTCCCTCATCATCCATCATGTTCAGGCTACCTGCCTCACATGCTAAAATACAGTTCTCCCCTACAAACCTTTAGCTTTAGTATGAATGCAGATGTCAGCCTTCTTGTTTATTTCACTGTGCTTTATGATCTCCATTTCAAACACTCCCCTGAGCAACCACGTCATGCACTCTCCAACACATTTCTCCTTTTCAAGACATGATCAGAAAAAGTCAGACTAGTCTACTCTCTTTATCTAGCACTGGAAAAGCACAGACAAATTGGAGGAGGTCAGGTCTCAAAACAGGCAATTGCAAACTAGGCTTCAGACAGGAAGTTTCTTTCTGCACCCAATCAGTCAGAAATTGACTCTCACTTTCTGGTTGACACTTCTGACTTCAAAAAACGATCAACAAAAAAGAAAACTCCAAACGCAAAACTAAAACCAGAGACAATTAATTTGTTCTATTTGAATAACAGAAGCTCAAAATATTATACCCAACCGATACTGTCTGCACACAAAATGAATATAGCACATGACAGAACACAATCAACCTTGAGAAAAATGAATTACCCAAAATCCAGTGTTACTACAAAATATTAGGGTCTGAATTACTGGGGAAATTAATAACGGTGAACTCAGCCAGTTTTTAGCTTCTTCAAGAGCTTTGATAAGATTCAGCAATTATTTTATTGATAACACTGGCTCTCAATTTTTCACCACTGAGATCCATTCCAGCTTTCAACCCATTCTTCCAGTTCTTACCCTAGCTGTACCTTGGTCCTTCAACTTATGGTCAACACCAGAGGTTAAAATGACCAGAATATGAAAGAAGCAGGTACGTCAGGAGGAGGAAGGAAGATGAAGGAGAGGTAGCTGAGGTCAATAACTATAGGTGAGACAAGAAGGGTGGAATATGGTATTTCTCAGTATTTACCAAGGGTATTCACAGTTCAAAGCAAAGCTGATTTTTATGCAATCCATAATTAATCCAAGGAGGTAACCTCTATTAAATATCACTGAAACACAAATACGACAAAGATTACAAAGAACTACTGAAAAGCAAAAATGCTGCCTGCAGTGAAATAGCTGGCCAAAGTTTTGTTTAGGAATTCCAGCACATATTTCAGAATAAAGATGTAGAAGAACATGGAGCTGTTGGAGCAAGTCCAGAGGAGGGCCACAAGGGTGACAAGGAGGCTGGAGCACCTCCCAGATGAAGACAGGCTGAGGAAGTTGGGGCTGTTCAGCCTGGAGAAGAGAAGACTGTGTGGAGACCTCATAGCAGCCTTCCAGTATCTGAAGGGGGCCTATAAGGATGCTGGGGAGGGACTCTTCTTCATGGACTGTAGTTATAAGACAAGGGGTAATGGCTTCAAACTTAAACAGGAGAAGTTTAGATTAGATATAAGGAAGAAGTTCTCTAGAATGAGGGTGGTGAGGCACTGGAATAGGTTGCCCAAAGAGGTAGTAAATGCTCCATCCATGGTGGTGTTCAAGGCCAGGTTGGACAGAGCCTTGGGCAACACTGTGTGGTGTCCTTGCCCATGGCAGGGGGGTTGGAACTAGATGATCTTAAGGTGTTTTCCAACCCCAACTATTCTATGATTCTATGTGGACTTGAAGCTTCCATAGAGTTGCATTATCATATAATTATCCACAATATACATGACACTGAAACAAATTACTCTCTAGGATAGAGAAAGCTTCAATAGCTGGACAGGGGTACAAGTTAGTAAAATAGCCTTATTAGTTTATGCTTACAATTCCTATAATAAGAGTCCTTCTCTTGTGAGCTACTGTTCCTCCATAACACACACAAAAAAATCAGGGATTTTCTAGCCAGATGACACTTCAAGCCTGTACTAATAGAGAAATAAAATATATTGTCTGAATATATCTGTGCATGTGTCAGAGCGAAGGAAAAGTCAGTTTGACCAATGTAACCAGAACGCAACATCAATAATTTGCCATAATAATAAAGAGTTCAATTCCAGCTAGGCAACGCTTTTGCTCTCAATGTCTAGTTCCGTCATGAATAACAGAACCACACCCAAATACATTAAAATAATCTATATAGCAATTTTTCTTCAGTTTGCATATGACCTAATGAAGTTGCTTCCCTTTCATCTCTCCAAAACACTCCTTTGCTGGTAAATATTCAATTAATTACCTGTCTCCAAATCGGCAGGAACCCGTTTTAATGTAGAATGGGCAATTTGCTCTATCTTTCTCTGTTCCTATATTCTCTGGGGGCTCTGGGTTATGCCAGGTCACACCATTCTCCAACTGTGGGGAAAAAAAACCCCAAGCATTAAAATACACAGAAGTTAAAAAAGAATAAAGAAATACAATGTCAAAATAAAACCACAACCACCAATTAAATTCATATGCAATTATGAGCACTGTGTTACTACAAGGCAAGCTGAACCTACTTTAAGCACTGTGTGACAAAGCTGCCCAGTGGCTTGGGTCTCTGGTGATGGACACCTCTTTTCTTTATACTTGCTCAGTTTAAAGAACAAGTCTTTTTTTTTTTTTTGTGTTGTTTGGGGTTTTTTTTTTACAATTAAAAAAAATAATCAATAAACTGGGTGCTTTCTTCTGTTAAATGAAAAGATCGTTAAGATTTTATAGCGAAAAGAGCTGCAATATATTTGCTCCTCAAACAGCAATTTCATTTGTTTTCCACAAGAATTACAAATATGGGAAAGGTTCTTTCCATTCAGCTAAGCTAGTTACCTACTTCACTCCATGACCTGCTGTGCAGCCTTTTATATGCCTGGCAGATAGAAAGCTAGGACTACTGATTTGTACCTGCAACAGCTCAGAGCTCAGTAAGGTTATCATAATTATTTTTGTGCAGCTACAAAAGGCTAAAAGTAACCTGCCAAAGGCCAGAATTAAAAAAAAAAATTAAATAATTAAATTCATAGTTAGCACTGGAAGTAAAAGCCTCCATACTGATAATCTCAGGCCATTAAGATTTCTGTAATTCAGAATGGGATTATCAAGTTGCAAGCCATGACTGACCACAAAATGCACATTTTAAAAAGGGAGTTTTCATTTTGTTAACCAAAAGATCTGTACAGCTGACTTGCCTAAGTTCTCATTTTAAATCAGCTGAAAACTGTTTACTTACAAGCAGCATTTGACCCTGCTACCAGTTCTGTTCATGACTCTCAGGCACAATTTTCTTGCAATTGAACAGCACCGTTGCTTCAACAGCAAGTAACTGATCCCTGCATTGATACTATAATGAAGTCTCTAACATAGCACATTTCTGCCTATTCCTTTGCAGAAATGGCTGCTAATACATCTTGAGCTCTGGGCAGGTAGTTCAGAGCATTTTTCCACCCATATTATGAAACAGTTATATTCCCTACCTAAAGAACAGTTTACACATAATCTGGAACTGAAAGCAACTCCGATGTAGCTATGGCAATCAACATTCAATGGGTTAACTAGGTTAAAACTTAATTTTCAGATTCACACGATGGTTTAAGCAGCACAAGAATCTTCACGAGTTTAACAGAGGACAGGGATACAAAGCCAAATTATTCTTTAAGGCAGTGGAAAGATTGAATTGATCCTCCTTAAGATTCAGATGAAAACCACACACTGCCAGCTTAGGATCCATGCTTTTCCAGGCACTCGAGCAGTCAGCTTCTCCCTGCCCCACCTTTCTTTTTACCCCTTACAGATCTCTGCCCTCCTCTACTACAGAATCCTTTTATTTAGAGCCTGCCATCTGCTTAAAAAGACAAGTTTGTCTTGCTACACAGAAGGACTGACAGATTTATTGAGAATTCTAACTCACAAATAAACCATTACACTCAGTGGGGTTTTTTTTAAACAGCACACAGCAGTATTTCCAGATTCATTTTGATTCAGATCTCCTGAAGAGGAATGAGCATGCACAACTGCACTGCCACCAACCAGCCAGAAATACGCTTAATTATGCTCCACCCAGTAAATAATTGTTTACAGCTCATGCAAGCCACTACATATTAAATTTATTCAGGCCATTAGGTTCTTGAGAGCAGATGGACAACATGCTAGAAGGGAAACAGTGGATGGCAATTAAATTACTTTTCAGTTCTTTTTCAGAAAGTCTCTGAGCATACCTGGCTTTCAGCTTGATCCAGCATCCTCTGCACAGCTGCCTATAAATGGTGCAAACACAGGACTAGTGAAAACCCTGAAGACACGCAAAACATCTGGTTTCTTTAGTTAAGAACCTAATTTACAATACTCAATGATTATATGTAATAAAAGTTTGATGGGGTCTGCTTTAAAAATTGAAGGTTTACTTTAGCTCTGTAGCAATTCACGTACTACAAAGCTGTTAAAGGATACATCAGACAACACCCTCATGTAGATGATTTTCCAATCTAAATACTAGACAACTTTAAAAGCTCCATTTTCTCTTTTAAAACTATCATTGAGCTACTGAATACTTAAACATACCTCCTACTCTAGTACTCAGTCTGGTTACAGACAGGCTCATCATCATTTAGCTGCACTAAGCTTTTCAACTTAAAACATTCTATGTAACACACAGAAAAACACATTGCTTAGTGATCCTCTGTTAAAGCAAAACATGCAACTTAAGAAACCTTAATATCATAAGTTCACTGTTATCTAGCCTTCCAAATACTGGAAAACAAAGAAGCTATTTTTTCCCCTTTCTTCTTCTAAGTTGGCTGAGCAAAACAATAAAGTCACTCTCCAAAACTGGCTAGAAATGTGTTCTAACATTGTAACAAATTATTCTAGGATGTAACAAAAAAAAAAACAAAAAAAAAACAAAACACCCCCAAAAAAACCCCAAAAACCCCAGAGACATTTAAACATAACCACTACAAGAAAACCCGCCAGCATTGTTCTCATGTGGAAAAGAATTAATTACATTAAAAAAGAAGAAAAGCAAATAAAAAAAATTCAATCCAACATAAGGACCCAGACAGCATCTGGTACTCATTATCAGTATGTCAGATACTGTTCATCCTAATAAAGAAAAACAAAACAAAACAAATAAAAAAACACATAACAAAAAAAAAAAAAACACCCCAAACCCCAGAAAAATAAAATAAAAAATAAAAAACCCAAACCCCAAGAAATCAGAAAATCTATTTTCTCACCTTAGGGAGGGAATTTTATTTATTTATTTTTAATCAGTAAGAATTTGAATAAACTGCTGTTTAAAGAGATGGGCAAAATCAACTGAACAAGTTTCTGCTGCTGAAATGAGTGGCCCCACTCACAGCTGGGTACTGTTTCCCTCTGGGTAACCGTCAATGCCCTCTCTATGAGCCAATTCAACTCACTAAACCAGTAACCCAGAAAAAACCCCAACCAAACAACCCCCAAAACCCTCCCAACCAACAAAAACCCAAACCAAACAAACAAGAAAGCAGCTTCCATCTACTTCAGGAACCAATTTAGCTCACTGAGGGCTTGGGCAAAGCCAGACACAAGGAGAGAAAAGGAACAAAACCCAGCTGTTACCACTGAAACAGTTGAACCCGCTGGTTCATCTCTCTTGGAACTGTATCTCAACCTTAAATAAAGGACACAACCATTATTTTCTCTCCCTATTCTGCAAAGAGAGAAATGGGACACTTCCCACAAGAGGAAGTAAGACAGGAAATACAACTGCTGTTCTTTTTCATTGCTCATGCAAGTGTTATTTAAGTACTGACACAACCAACTACTACATGCAGGAGCCAGTCCTGTTTACTCATGTCTCTTCTCCTGTTGTGGCTACCAGACACAGTAGCAAGACACCTCACAGTGAAAAGACAGGAATCTTTTGTGATTGTTGAGAAGCTAACATGACCAATTCTAAAAAGCTACAATCACCCTTTACTGCTGATAGGCCAGTCCTCACATTGGAATTCTGTACAGGGCATCTTAAATCCAGGCCATTCAACTTCTAAAACTTAAGAAGAATGTATTGTTAACAGAAAAGTTATCATTGCCTTGTATCTTCAGTATCATTTTTTATTCCACCCAAGGAGCTGTAAAAAAGATACGTTCAGTTGGATGAGTCAGGTAAAGAAGAGCTGTAATGTATCTTTTAAGAACTGTGTTAAGGAACAGCAGCAATATAATTCCATATTCCATATCCTCATTGGGCACTTTCTTCAACACTGGCTGTATTCAACTGGGACATTTTAAGGAAGTTCTTTACAATGAGGATGGTCAGACACTGGAACATGTTGCCCAGAGAAGCTGTGGCTGCCCCATCCCTGGCAGTGTTCAAGGCCAGGCTGGACAGGGCTTGGAGCAACCTACTCTGGTGGAATGTGTCCCTGCCCATGGCAGGGTGTTGGAACTAGATGATCTTTAACGTCCCTTCCAACCCAAACCATTCTGTGATTCTATTAAGTAAGGATTATCTTTAATGTGTGATGCAAAAAGTGTACATCAGAACCTGCATTCACAGTGTGCTTTTGTATTTAACAGATACAGAAATTGCATACTATGAACAACCAGATGCTTTATAACTAGTTACTTCTAGGTATATGGATTCACTGTATCCTCTTTAACAGTGAATAATTATTTCATGAATTTAGACAGAATGAAGAGAAGTAGTATTCTAACACATTTATACATTTGCTAATTAGGATAAAATCCCTCTTCCAACCTGCAGACTGTTTTATCTGATAATGTAAGAGGATATGTAACACGTTTATCCTCCCACTGCCAGGAATCACCTCTCTCTCTTTCTTCTCCTGCTGCTTCTGCTGTGCTGCTTCTCTCTCTTTTCTTTGCTGCTCTTCCCACTCTTCTTTTATCTTCCTCTTTATGATTAAAAAAAAAATAAAATAAATTATTTAAGGAAACTAATGCTTTATAATCAGTCAGATTCAAAACTATCATGTTGTAGTACAACTCCTTGACCATTAAGTTTTCATCCAGTCATAAGCAACTAAATCTCTAGAGAAAAAAAAGAAAAAAATTTTAAAGAGTGAGTTTTTTTCTTTTTAATTTTGCTCTTCTAGAGTGGAAGAAAGAAAAGCTTACTCTTTCAAACGTACCAACATCAAGAAAACTGAGTCCACTACAGAAGAGTAAAAGATACGACACTAAATCTACTTTGTTGCCAGACACAACTGTAACACTCGGTTTATACATCACCTCTTCTTCTTCTTGACGTTTTCTTGCAGCCTCTTCTTTTTCTTTCTTAAGCTTGAACTCTTCTTGGGCCTTTTCTTCTCTCAGCAACCACTGTTCATGTAGCTTTTGTCTACCAAGGAAACCAGATAACACTTAGACAAAATTTAATGACTACCCACAACTGATGCAATTCTCATGCACACAAGTCAAATTAGTTCAGGAATAACTACAGGTCATCCAGTCTTCATTAAAAGAGAAAATTCCATAGGAATCATTCAGGCTTTAGAGAAAAAACTGCATAGCCTGAAATATACAAAAAGGATTCAGTTTTACAGACTATATTGAAACTTTTCAAAGTATCAAAATGTAATTGACTACAAATGCACCTACTGCATATACAACATTTTCTAGATTTTTCACCTTTCTGCCTCAAGTTTCTTTTCTTCTTCTTCCTCTTCCTCCTCTTCTTCCACTTCCTCCTCTTCCTCCTCTGACACCGATTCATCTTTTTCTGTAGTTTCTGAGAAAACCCACAACACAGTGCATGTAAACAACTAGATGCTGTACTAAGCAAAGATACACAAAACTATATCCTTAAAAAAGAAAAAAACAAAAGAAAAAATCCCAACCTGCTAGTTCCACTGACAATACACTTCACACTTACCGGAGTCTCTGAGTTTGGCAAGTGCCTGCCGCTTTTTTTTCCGCTTTTCTTTCTTTAGAATCGCTCTGTATTTTTGATGGCTGAGGATGAGAGAATATTAATTACGTTAAAACAGCCAAACAAAGGGTTTTCACTGTCATACATGCACTCAATTTACATCAGCAGTCCAAAACCCCACAAACCACAAAATTAACAGCCATTCATATTAAACAGTAACTCTACAGGGACATCTGACATGACAATGAAATCTGTAGCCATGCTGTCAGAGCTACACGCAGACAGCAGCAGCAATCACATCTGGACACAACACACAGGGTCTCATCCTTCCTGAGCTCTGCAGTACTTGACATTATCGAGAACTCCATGAAATCTCCCTTAGTTCCTGAAACTTGGCCACTAGGTAAGAGTAGGGAGAAGAATTAGTGGTTCTCCTATCCTACAATTTTGGCACACATTCCATTCTAGTCTTGCTCTCTCTTGTATAGGGTATGAAATTTTAAGTCCCTTCCCATCTCCTCTGATATTCTCTACAGGCAGCAGTCTTAATGTACAGGTAAAAAAAGCACACTTCACCACCACCACAGACAATGCTCAGGTCTATTCTTCTGCTACTGAAGCTTGGCCAGACTCATCCTTCCTTGTCTGAAAGCTCTGCAAAGGCTGCACAGAAACAACACCATGCTTTTGTTATGGTTATGAAACCCTCAACTATCTGACACCCTTTTCATTTCAACCCCTTTTCTATCATTTTTCATTCTAGCTCTCTTCTTTCCAGCCATTCATAATGGAAAAACAGGAGGGAAGGATGATCTTCAACTCTTGTCATTCTGCTATGCCAAATATTCAAATAGGAGATCCAAATCTTCATGCTTTAGAGTATGTAATTTTAAAAGATTCCACAGCTGTAACTCACACAGCCAAAACCTCACCCACATCTCTATAACCCTTCTATTCAGGGTTACTCACAACCTCACCATCTCCATGCTGTCATGGTGGTTATCCCAGCAGGGAGCACTTGCCCTCAAAGAGCAATACCTGTCCACATGCAGTGCCCACATGTGATCAAGGAGCAACACCTGACCGCATGCAGTGCCCACATTTGATCAAGCAAGCCTAGTGACGCCTGTTGTAATGCCACCTGCCTGAAACGAATCTCATCCACTCAGCAGGTGCCTCAGGCTGACGGTGAGGATACCTCCTTCCCAGTTCCCAGGCTTCCTTAGCTACTCGTAAAGCCCAAGGAAGAGAGCCAGCAACTCTCCTCACTCCCAGCCCACGAGAAGGTGAGCAAACAGCTCAAGCCCAAGGAGCAGCGACTTGGCTC